AGATAAACTGTATGATACAAAATACTATTTGATATAATTAAAGTTAAGTTCTTATTAGTCCTGGTATTCTTTAAATTCTCGTAAGTATTTGAACATGCTACTCGACAGATAGTCTTCTCAAAATTCCATGATTCATGATTGGATGAATAGAGAAGTATGCGTAAATGAGATGGGGAATAGAGAATGGAATATACATCTGCGGAACAAAGAAAATGGAAACCCATAGCCAGAGAAAATGGATCTCTCGGTAATGATAATTTAGTCTACGAAGAGATTTTAACCGCGATGAATGTGCATATTGAATATTAGCGAAGACCTAATGTACAATTCATGTTCATTAAAAGTATTAAATTTTGAATTAAATTGCACCGTTTACGTACATCAGAAAGGAAAGAACATATTTGCGTATGCGATTATGCGCCGCATATGGTTTGTTCCTAAATCAGATTGACAAACAAATAGATTTAGAACGGGAGAAAAAAAAGGATTTAAAAGGATTATACATATAAAATAAATTCTTATAAAATAAATTTGATTCAAAGATGTAGAGTTAAAAGCTTGAAACATTTATATTAAACTAGGAAGATTGTTAATCTTTTTGTATATCTTGTAGGTAAACATTTTAATTTTATACAATTAATATTTCCGTAATAATTGAAATTATTTTTCTTAATCATTTACCACACACACAAGCGTATAAAGTTGCCCTTAATTTTTCAAGAAATTCTACGACGAAGAAAACAATTTATTTACTAATTCTTTTTTATATACATTTGCATGCGATAATTTTAAATTGTTTAATCTCCGGTTGAAAATTTCGTAATGTAACAAAAACTTGACATTTGTTTAAGAAATAGAATCACTGCGCCGATCGTTGTTTTCTTATCATTTCATCGTATATATATTCGTTTCTTGCCATCTTATCTCGAATTGTCCTCGATTCACATACGCGTACGTGCATTCTAGGAGTAGGGCGTACTTTCGGGATTTAATTGCGACCCGTGACGAAGTCTCGTCCCGTGTTCGTTACGAGGGTCTGTGTGCTTTGCTGGCTCAAATTGAAAGCTTCGTTTCACACATGAACGTGCACAGTCGTCCACATAACATATCTACACACGCTTTCTGCTTTTCTATCTTCTGTTCGCGTGTATGTTTTCACATAAATGTTTGTCTATATGCGTGTGTATGTGTGTGTATGCACGCGATACGCACAGCAACCAAGGATTACGTGTCACAAATTGGTATTACCTAGCATTGCGAACATAGACATAGAGACAGGTGTGCACGCGGCATTTCGAGAGAAGCGTCTCGAAGTGCTTCCAGCATACCTGATGCGATTCAACGCAGTAAGTTTTACTAACACGATTTCGTGACAGGCAATTTGCTTTGTAAGGAAATAATTGCAATCAGTTAGGCCAGCCAACACAACCGAATTCACCACCGTTTTACGACTTCACGGGCGAACCGCTGCGAAGGGCAGAAATTCATTTGTCATTTCACAGTTGTCGCTCTAAATACAATCCTTTCGCACTCTTTCTCCACCCAAGGGAAGCGCAATTCGCGTATCTTCCTCCTTACGCGAAGTTATCGTATTCCGGATGAATAGTTAATTCCTTTTAAAGAATTAAAACACAGTTTAAAAAAAAAACTTGCGTTTTTTTTCGCGCATCCACTAGTGCGTGAGTAAAATCCCCCATCTTCGAATTAAAGTTGCAAATTTTCTTGCAAATATTCTTAACGCTCTAAACTTTCCGCCTTTCGTCTCTCTCTCTCTCTCGGTGGGATATATTGTACTAAGTACGACTACATTTTCAATTTGTCCATGCAGTATCCATATACAAAGACATCGTCGCTCCAAGGTCTCACGGGAACCGTTTTGACGCGGGACGCCGATAGATACATTATCGAGCGTCCGCGTGAGCGAGCGAGCGAACTCGATCGCCGGGGTGTCGATCCTCGGAAAATTCAACTTTACGCGACGGGGTGTCCTGGAGGCGCTTGAGAGGCAGCATTATGCGCGCTCCGACGATATTGAAAATATTTTAAGAAATCTGTCACGCTGGGGAATTTACCGCCCGATAAAGTCGAGCGGATTTAACAACATCGGACGGTATTATTTGACGAGATAGAATCCGTTTCACTCGCGAAACCATCGCGGGCGATCAAAGAAGGTTCGTCACTTCTTTATAAAATTTGCTCCGATGTCAAAATATTTTTACGATTAGATGTGTACCTTCTAACTGCTTGTTTTAACCGAACAAGAAGTATATAATAGTATTTTTTAAATTATAAGTCTACGACACATTCACCTTCGAATAAAATACAATGATGTTACGCGGTAATCACTCTCGAACACCCATGCAAACATTCAATAAAATTAAAAATAACAAATACAAAATAAAATACAATAAATGAACACATGAAAAAAATTAATAAAAATTAAATTATTAAAAAATTAATA